CCTTTACTCTATTCAAAAATATTGTATCTTGGTACATGGAAAATCTATCTACTTTGGTTTTTAACTTTGGTAATATCATAATTCTCAATTCTCAGAAAGGAGAAAATGTATTCTAATTATTTTGATCTATAACGAACAACACAGGCCACTATAGGTGTACTAAATATAAAAGAACCTCCTTGTGCACCATATGGGTGGGTAAAAACAGGGCAAAACTACTGATTAAAACTCATCGTCTAGATAAGTTTGGGGTTAGGTACCATGGTGCGAGCTGTGCGCATCAATCAGACTACGCCCTACCACGGAGGTAACCATGGCGACCGGGCCACAGCTCACCAACTATAGTCCAAGGTGCTTGGGAGAGGAACGATGGCCCGGGGGCCATGGTACCTACGACCCCCAACTACCACAAGCACCTAACCCATGCAAGCAGAGAGCCTCGGCAACTCGCAGTAGAATAAGAAAGGCACTATCCGACGACAAAGACAGTACTTTATTTCGATAAACGTGCCGAGGCTGAAGCCAATACCTCCACTGGGGATCTGATATATCGCTGGTAGGCGTTGCTGGACCACCGGCCCATCGACTGTATCAGGTGATCGGGAACTCCGTTTCGGGCTGCTACCGTAGCCGCGCCTATTCTAAAACTATGGCTGGAATAGTTCCCTGGAATATTCGCCAACAACAAGAGTTTTCTAAGCCAGTTGGTAAGAAGAGGGCGTGTCAACGGTTGACCAGATTGCAACAAMAACAATGGCCCTGGGGAATCTCCTCTGATCTTCAGATACGCTAATAGAGAATGGACTGCGCACAAAGGAGGGGTGGCCCTACCCACGTAAACTCGACAACCCTTTCGGAATGGGTCAGTCTTAGACGCTTTAATATGCACACAAAGACACGACGGCGCGTCTATAGAGTCTACTGCTATATCTTGCACGCCCAAGTGAATAGCTGAAAAATAACTGCTTAATTTAGGTACAGTAAACTCCGCAGAACGCATGAAACCAAAGTAAGCTAGGCAGCAGGCTGCCCAAAACATTAAGTGATCCACCTGGGACATGTCCAAATGTCCATGAATCGACCACATAATGTCATCAGTGATGGGTAAACGATCCGTGGCTTTGGTCCCCTGGACGCGTTTAATGCCTCTTATCACTCTCTGTAGTCTTGGCCGGTCAAGCAAGGGGTCAGGAAAGCCTTGCTCTACGTGAAGCGCACGGACTGCCGAAAGGTAGGCCTTAATCGACGCATGGTTHAAGGACTGAGACAAGAATGACGCGAACAGGCACAAAGTCCATTCATCTGCTGGACAGACAGAGCCGTCCGCGTGGGCTTTTCCAAACTGCAAGCAAAARGCTGTAAATCTGTTCTGGGCGCTTGCGTAGGATCGTCGGGTGCTCGGAGCAAATCCTTCTTTCATCAGCTCTCGACAACGGGCTTCTAGAGCTGAGATGTGAGGTCCTCCAACACGTGACCCGGGATCTGAGTGGGCACGGGCCTGGCCTATGGGGCTAACTGCCGAAAGTCCTGCCAACGGAAGCGGGAAAGTGCGTCAGCAATTGGGTTCTGTACACCGGGGACATGAACCGCAGAGAAGGTAAAGCTGAACTGCGCTGCTGCTAGCAGAAGACTACGAAGTAGATGCATTATGCACGGGACTTTAGACGTTCTCGAATTAAGGATAGACACCACCGCCTCATTGTCAGACCTGAACCTGACATGAAGCAGCCGCCAATGTCTTCCCCAAACGTGTGCCGCAACAGCAATGGGGAAAAGCTCTTTGTATGCAATTGAGAGGGGCTTCTGGGTGGCAAACCAAATGCCATTGAACCACTCTTCCTTGAAAAAGGCGCCGTATCCCAGTGAGCCAGCGGCGTCGGACGTAACTTCGATTTGCGCCGGTGTCGTCATACCAGGATGCWGCCAAAAGCCAACACCGTTCCACGTTTCCAGGAACTGACGCCACCACTGGAGATCCAGATGAAACTCGGCGTTTAAACGAATCGGGTGGTTAGCATTCCTGAAGCAGCAAAGCAGATTTATCATGCGCCTGATAAACGTTCTCCCTGGCCAAACCACCTTAGCTGCATGGTGGAGGAGGCCAATAAGAGATTCGAGTTCGGTCTTACGACACCATTGGCGGTTTGCCCAAAAGTTAACTAATGCACGCACTTTGCCCAATTTATGTTCTGGGAGACGCGCAATTTGCCTAATGGAGTCCAGTTCGATGCCCAGGACAACTAGGGTCGTCGCCGGGCCTTCACATTTTTCCGGGTGAAGAGGGATTCCAAGAMTTGCGCAGACACTGATAGCCGTGCCGAGATTGCGGCCGCAAACCCCGGAACCTGGAGGACCCGCGGTAATGAAGTCATCCAGGTAATGAAGCAAATCTGACACCTGATAGTTGTTGGTCAAGATCCATTCCACCACCGCCGCAATYGAATCAAAGATGCAAGGGGCAGAGCGTAGCCCAAACGGGAGAGCTAAATCGACGTAAAACATGCCGCGCCACTTCATGCCGAAGATAACGGTCCGATGGGTGAACCGCAACGTTACGGTAAGCCGACTGCACGTCAAACTTAGCCATCATCGCCCCCACGCCCAATCTACTAACCATTCTGATAATGTCGTCCACTTTGATGTATTGCAATGAAAATTGGTCCGCATTAATGCCATCGTTAACGCTGGCGCCCTCGGGTGACGATAAGTCCACGATCAAACGCCATTTACCTGGCTGCCCGCTCTTGGGGATGAC